TCATCTGAGCCGATTATAATCAGACTGGCAGATTTACCCAGTATTGCTCGGGTCTTTAGCTCAAGTCAAGGTTTTTTTTAAATAAAAGGAAAAAGTACATGCTTTATTTAAATTATTGTATTTTCAAAAATATAATGTTATTTTTAATTAGGTTAATTTTTATTTCAGATTTCTTTAAAAAAGGGGTTGTTAAAATTTGTTCGGTTCCTTTTTTTTAGTAATTTTTGTGTGTGTAAATTTTATAAAGTGTATTTTTTCCTTCATCCCTATAAATTCATATCAGTTGCTATATTTTAACAAAACAGGATTTAGTCAGTTTGGTTTCCAATAACATTGTCTTTTAGTTTTCAAACCTTAAGCATCGATTTAGCTGTGCCAAAACAGATCACTATGCCAAATTTCTCTGTTTATCTCTTTTCTGTAAAGTTTATTGAAAAGCATTCCATTTGCTGGTACACCCTGTTTTTCTAGCTCATCATTGTTCAGTCTCTTTCAGCATTCGTTCAATTATGTCTGTTTTGAGGACTGTACTTGATTTGGTGATCCTATCTCTTTTCTGTTTGGATTTATGAGAAGCAGTCCCATTCCAGGCACGTCCCATTTTCCTGGCACAATCAAACCCTTACTTAGCTTCAAGTTATGATATGAGGATACCGAATTTGGTGGTCCTACCTCTTACTGTTTAGGAGGAGTTCTTGATCAAACACAAACAAACTCTCTAAAAGATATAGTGATAAACGGAGATAATTGCAGGCAATTTGCCATTCATGGGTATTTAGGATGAGATTAAAAAAGAGCGAGAGTGTGGACACTACGGATCACGTGGCATTTGAGACAAGTCAGAGAAAAGTTTTTGAAAATCACCAGATAAGAAAACCAAGACAACATCTTACTTCCCTTGGGCGTTAACTATACAGTATTAGTCTCTCATTATCTTTTTTTCATTGCTATTCAACAGTGGTCAATCAACTGGGCCATGTTCACTTGACTAGATAGGCCCTGGCTCAGAATCACCAATGGTAGGAAGACTGCTAGTGGGCCTGTTGTGACCTATCGAAAGTCAGGACAGTCCTAAGGGTCACAGAATAGCACAGGGGCTGGCAGCATGGAAAGCAGGTGATCTGCTGAGGGAATGCATCTTCTCTGCAGTCTCAGCTGATGAAGAGTCTCCTGACGAGCCCCTGCTTGCATGGAAAGACTCCCCCCACAGTAGACACTTCTGAAAGAGGACAGCAGTGAAAACATTGCTTATCCTTGCCCGAGCATATATCCTCTCTGGGGTGTAACAGCACTTGGTGGCAATGGTAGACTACATGTGGCCCAAAAGTTTGGAGACAGTTCCTCCAAGCCAGACAGTACATATCTAATGTGGGCCTAGGAATATTCAAGTGCTTTAATAACTCATTTGACCATATTAGTCAAGGGAGCAGCAAAGCAATTTCTTCTCTGTATATGGTACTGGCGGACCTGATACTACAACACCGTGGGCAGCTCTGGTGCTTACATTCTTAGAAGACAATTGATACGTTGGAGCTGTTACAGAAATCATTTGAGGGCTGGAGAAAATGCCTCTCAGTGAGATATTTAAAGAGATCAATCTGGTCAGTTTATTATAATGGAGATTGAGAGGTAACTTGATTACAGCATACAAATACATTCACAGGAAGAAAGTACCAGGTACTAATAGGCTTTTTAATATGCAGAGAAAGGCATAGAATAAAACTATGACTGGAATTGGAAGCTAGACAAATTACCACTGAAAACAAGGCATAATTTTTAACAATGAGGGTGATTAAGCATTGGAACAATCTACAAAGGGAAGTGGTCGGTTCTCTATCTCTAGCTATCTTCTGAATGCCTGTATAGAAGATATGTTTCAGCCAAACACAAGTTACGTATTAGTCAAACATGAGTTACTGAAGCTCAATAGAGATAACTGGGTGAAATTTAATTGCTGGTGGTATATATAGGAGGTCAAACTGGGTGATTTAAAATGGTCCCCCTGACCTTAAACTCCATATATCTAAGGAGACATGAATCTCCCCCCTCACCCATCTTTATGGAAACAGGGGTTTTAATCCATTTAGACTTCTCTTTTTGACATTCTTTACTGGCAGTTTTTCTCAATCAGCCTAATCTTTTCCCATCAGGCTTCATGATAATCCCATTCTGCTATACTCCTTAAACTAATAAAAGATTAGGGTGACATTTGAGAAAGGGCATCGCATTAACCAGCAGCTTTCCCCTCTCAACAGATTACACGGTGCAAAACGTAGAGAGCAGGCCATTAATCTTATGGTAACAAGGTGTCTTTCTGAATGGAGACCTCCTTCTTGATCAATATGAAGGGCCCGGGAATAATGAGGACACTGATGCCTGACATCTCTGGCAATTTTGCCAGGAGGCAGCGGATCCATAAAGCACTCTGATGTCGGAAACAGCTCCTGTCACCACACCATTCTGCCACAGACAATTGAGAGCAGGCTCCCACTAGGATCTGTCACCTCGTGTGCTGTCTGCAGATAATGAGCCTTACCCTATGTTCTAATTAGTGGCACAAAACTGTTTAACAACTTTGGCTTTGCTCTAACATGGAATCAATTAGGATTAGCAGCTGAATAAAGGGTAAATTTTCATGCCTCTTTCACTAAGCCTGCATCACTGGTGAAAATCACTAACAAAACCCTTTGTTCCTTCCAAGGGTGGTGAGAATAGTACAGACCTAATCACGGGCCTTCCTGTTCCAGTAAAGGGCCTGCTGATATCATTGCATTGCCTAATTAGTCTTTACACCACAAGAATAGAAAGCAGCCCACTGATTTATTTTTCCTTGTTACGTATATCTCGGCTCCCCAAAGGAAGAGACAGCAACTGCAAACAGAGGCGATAATATATCTGTCTTGTTTCTGGGGACTAAAATCTCACATGAAGTGCTGAGAAAATCTTTAGGAGAAAAATTTAAGTATCATTCTCTTTACCTGCACATAAAGTTGCTGGGCTGTGATATGATTTAAAAGCAAGGCAGGCTGGGTAACCTAACCAGCATATAAAATAAAGCCTTCATCCTTCTATGACATCCATGCAGGCAAACCTTGACACCTATGGCTTTGTCTACACTACAAAGTTTTGTCATCAAAACTTGCCTTTTGGTGACAAAACAGTGAGAACATGCACACTGCAGTGTGTCTTTTGTTGGAAAAAACTCCCACTTTTGGCCACAAAAAACTTCTACCCCATAAGAGAATGTTTTCCCCTCTCCCTTTATTGTTACCAGACTGACAGTGTAGACTCTGCTGTTTGTTTTTTTGACAGAACTGGCTTCCACCAGTATCCCATAATGCCTGCCCTGATGGCTCTGCACAGCATTTAGCTCTGCTATCGTGCAGGCATGCACCCTTCCCCTTTCAAAGCTCTGGGAAGTATCTGACAGCATAGCTAGCTGCTTAATTTAGGGAACAAACAAAGAGCAAACAAATGGAGTGCTCCTGTTCTGCCCTATTTGGAACACAGGGGCAGGCAGGCTGCTGCTGCAGGGGGAGGGGAACAGACTGCTGTGCTGCGAGGATATTTGACAGCATGGAGAGCTCACAAAACTACTCATGATGCCACTCCTGGCAGCAGAAGAGGCTGTGGGAGAACTGAGGGAGAATCCCAAGATGTGCAGGGCTCAGCTCTGACTTTCCACAACATGGCATTGTGGGATACATACCCACAGTGCATTGCTCACACAGTCGATGATGATGCTCCCAGTGTGGACATGATCTGTCGACAAAGGGAGCAACTGTGAACGCCCTCTGGCAATTTTTGTGTGTTGACATAAATTTTGTTGATAAAACTTTGTAGTGTGGACATACCCTAGTACAGAATTCAAAAGATTCTGCGTAGGTTGAGGGATATGATCATATGGAACAAGTTTGGCAGACCAAGGACTAGAAAAATCAGTCTGGGGCAGACTCTGATGAAGCATAGAGTGTGGGCAATGCAGCCAGGGTCCTAATAAAAGAAAACCACTTTGGATATGGTTTATACCGGGGTAGGCAAATACTGGCCTGTGGGCTGGATCTGGTCCACCAAAGTTAGCCCCTGTTGGGCCCCTATACCGTAGTATTTACCATTGTCTCTGCAGGTTCAGGGGATCGCAAACTCCCATTGGCTGTAGATTGTTGTTCCTGGCCAATGGGAGCTGAGATTGCCCGTACCTGCGGAGATACTGGCAAATACAGTGATAGTGGCCCACCAGGTCTAACCCTGGTGAATTGCCACCATTTTTTTGCCCACCTCTGGTTTATACCCTTTTAGTCTTTGGTTCTCTTCCGTGGTTAATGAACTATGATTTGCTCGTGCATCCTTTGGAGTTCAAAATTCCAAATTGCAGGTTTCTAGAGACCAGATGACCCTGTGCCACACTTCCTCTTCTGATTACATTCATTAGATATCATCTTCTAACTTTTTTATTTTGTTGTTGATGCAGGTATCTGAGGTTTTAGGAATGTCTGCTTTGTAGCAAAACCAATCTCTGCCTGTCCCATTTTGTCACTCTGCAAAGGTGTACCACTGGTATTATATTCCATTGCTGTCTCAGGTTCTGAGCTCACTATAGATATCAACAGGATGAAACTGATTTCAAAGGACAACTATAAAGTCTGCATTTGCCAAAAGATCCCACACGGTACTATCTGTGAAATCACAGTATTTCCTTATATTCCAAATAAGAAATAACAGCAATAACTCAAATACAACTGGGTAGTATCTGATAATAAACTACTGAGTTCTTAACAGAAGTTAATGCAACCATCCTAATTTTGCTGTTTGTGAAGACGAAAAATTTCTAGTTGATGAAAGAATCATAATGGATATTTGAAAAGAAAAAAAAAATTCCAAGCTGTGGCAGATAAGTAAAAAAGAAAAGAGCTTGACACTTTCTCTGACAAAGATTTTCATAGCAAGTTCCACCTCTCCATCTCTGGGGAAAAGTGTATCCTGTAATAGGAAGGACTTACCTATAAACTGTGGTGGGTGGAGAGTTCAGTGTGTCGTAGATAAGCCTCACGTGTCCTTGGTACAACTCCAAAGCCAAAGGATCATTGTCTCCTTTGTATAATAAAATGCCATTGTCTTTATCTGTTGCTACCTATGAAACATCAACAGATGAACATTTAAAAAATCAGCTATAACAAGTGCAGTAGCAATGCAAATTCTTCCTGCCTAAACCGCTGACCATGAGCCAAGGGGATAATTCACACCTACTCTATCCTTGGGGTGCGTCTACACAGCAGAGCTTAACTTGAAATAAGCTACGCAAATTGAGGTACATCAACTGTATAGCTTATTTAAAAAATGGGAGCATCTACACAGCACTTATTTCGAAATAGAGCACTCTTCCACCGACTTCCCTTACTCCTCGTACAATGAGGGTTACAGGAGTCGGAATAAACAGTCCTCTAGCTTGACAGTATTTTGCCATTATTTTGAAATAACTGCCGGTTGTGTAGATGTGGACTAAGTTATTTCGAAATAGCACTAATTATTTCTAACTAACGTTGCTGTGTAGATGTACCCTGGGTCTCTCCTAAGACTGCCAACAAAGGTTTTGACTGTAGTGATGAATTTTGCAAGGTGGGCTCTAGGTATTGGACAGGAGCTGCTAAATTCATTTGATAGGCCATTCAGCTGCCATCATGAGCTCGGTCATGCAGAGTCATTATTTGCAAATAATGTTCTGCTAAGATCCATTCCCATTTTCAAAGTAACTACTTAGGCTCTTTACACTGCAGTCCTTGAACATTTGTGCAATGGCATAATACTAGTGCAAATGCTCATGGGCTGTGAATTTTAAATGTTGCACCTTGAAATGAAATGCTGTGTCACTGGCAATTTGAACTTAAAACCCAGTTGTGAAAACCTCGCATCTCCCTAGAGTATGTGATCAACCCTGATCTTTATGTGAATGAGGGAATGGCAGAAATGTCATTTCACAGCTGGGCCTTGAAACAAAAGAACCTGCTATAGCCAGAGTCTCTCTTTAGTTCAAATAGTAGAGACCTGTATTTTAAGAGTTCAAGGGGCACAATTCTAAATACAGCCTTTCTCTGTTGAATCTCTGTGTGTGAACTATGACTGTTTTTTGTCAGAACTTGATTCATTTCACACTCCCTACTAAGCAACAGCTTGAATTAGGGATTTAGAAAGGCAATGTATAAAGTAAATTAAGTTAATCAAAATTGCATAACAAATACATTTGAGAAAATTTCAGTCTGACCATGGTTATTCTGTGACCATGAAGAGAAACTAAAGTGTACACAATAGGTTATATACATTATGAATTATTCACTCAACTCTAGTTATCTCCGAGCTAGATCCATACAGTCAGAAAATAAGAACCTTTCAGTCCCTCCTAGATTGCCATCTTTGCTGTCCTAAAAATACCAGAAAGCTTAAACTCATAGATGATGAATCCACCTTCCCATGAGGTACCTCTAAAAGTGACAGTGGAAGATGTTGGGGAGGAAGTACTGAGAACAAAATTTGTCTCAGGGTTATTTTTGCAACAAATATTGCAAAAGGTTTTTTTTAATGTCAGTTAAGCAGCAAAACTAAACAGTTAAATATTTCAATCTATTTTTATCTAAACAAATGCTCTTCTTTGCTCCATAGCAGAGCATGATTTTCATTCTTTTACGAGTATGTTTTAATAGAAGGCTCTCTTTAATCCCTTTTTAATGGCCAGAAAATTATCCCAATTTTACTTTCTTGGCAATTAATTAACAGATGGAGAAACAATATTTAAACTGGAAAATAAGATCTGAGAACACCATCTGTGTGTGTTCTATGAAATAAACAGGCTTGGCCTTCGAGTTATTGCTGGAAGACATGTTCTCCTTGTACATTTTACTTGAAGGAAAAATGTCAAGAGTTCCAAGCTCTGAACTTAACCTATGGTGCAGTGGAGCCCTTGAGAATGTCAGACTTTTTAGAGTTTTTGAGAGAGTACGATCTGAAATAAAAGAATGTTGGAAAAATAAAAAGGTGAAAATAATATGTCTAATCTCAGCATTATCTGCATCACAATAAAGAGTTGTTATTTTTAAAAGGCAATTTTTAAAAAGATGCTAAGCAAGTCATGCCACATTAAAATTATTTATATTTTCAACTGTGAATTTTCAGAAGTTGAGGCCTTGGATATAAATGGTAAATACTGATCGTATGGTCCCAGATGTTTCCTTTAGTTTGAAATAAATTCACCTATGATAGAAGAGATTAATCTAAACAGGTGGTGGCAATGTTAGGCCCAATACTAAAGATAGTGGAAAGAGTCCCAGCAACTTCAGTTACCTTGGGTTCAGGCCCTTTTGTGGTTTTTGGCAAAACCCTTCTTGAATCTTATTTGTAGATTTTTTTTGTGTGGCAGCCATAGCAATTTACAATATTGTTTCAATCAAGAGAACAAACTTGATAAAGCCTCTAAATTAGCCTTTGCAGAAAAAAATCAGTTCTCTATACTGGAATCTAGTCCCTTCGTCAAAGTCTTTCCCACTGCTATTCTGACTGTGTCAAATTTATGGTCTAACAAGTAGTTCTAGAAGAGAATTTGCAACATCAGAAGCCATTTCCTTTTAAAAATGAGAAAGTAAAATGAAGGAAGACACATGTGATAATCTCCCTTTCTCACATATCTTCATTTATCACTTAAAATGCCACACTTCTTTCGTAGGTGAAGCAAAATGCAGGACAATGTAGCACTTTAAAGACTAACAAGATGGTTTATTAGATGATGAGCTTTCGTGGGCCAGACCCACTTCCTCAGATCAAATAGTGGAAGAAAACAGTCACAACCATATATACCAAAGGATACAATACCCCAGACTAACACGGCTACATTTCTATCACTCTTCTTTCGTAGGGTGAGGCTGGAAAAGTAACAGTTAAGGTGCGTGGCCAGTGGAATATAGAAGAGATATATTACACCACAGATTACTTTTATGGCTCTCTTTTCTCTTCATTACAAACTGTAAAAAGGGGCAGATATTTCCCTCTGTTACTCTCAGCCACTGGAAGAGTAATTGCAATGTAAAAGACCTGGATCTAATATTGGATTTAGTGGCTCCAATCCAAAGCATCTGTGATCCAGAAAATAGAAACAAATACTGTAGGAGAGGCATGGTAACCATCATCTTCTAAAGCACAAAACACAAAGCAAACTGAAGTGATCTAAGGAGACATTTAACCAAAATGTACACACTTTTGTCTACATGA